TTTTTTAAGGAAATTGATATTTGGCAAAATCCCAAATATCGATTTCCCAAGCGCATTTAGGCCCCATGATGAGAGCCTGCGACATGTGCCTATAATGTAGGAGCCTCCTGCGCCACGGTGAGATCGAACCCTTAACTATTATACGAGCCTCAAACCACTCCTAATGTGCCCAACAATTCGAGTACTGCCTCCTTAAGGTCAACTGTGCCAGAGTGGATTCTATTTTTTTGACAACATGTCTAAAATCACCCTTAACAATTACCTCGTAGCTTTTTTTTGGTTTTCTAAATTTATATCCAACTCACACAAAGATTTAGTATTAAATATATTATACGTCTTCCCAATTTGAACAAACATTTTATCACTAAGACATTAAGGTTCTGTTTGGGGCAGCTGCAGATTATCAGTTTATCAGCTGCAGTGTCTCAGGAAGCTGCTGCTGGGAAGTTGGATGACTGTTTGTTTCAGTTGATGAAAAATAATTGTTTATAGGCAAATGATCATTCTGCCCTTATTTAGTAATATTGTTTATAACAGAATTGTTGTAGTCATATATTTGATAGTTCAGAAGCAAAAATTCACTTCAGAACAATACAAAAATTTAAATACACACATCACTTAATAGCGGGTGTCAATAGTGCAAAAAAGTAAACAAAAAAACTATTAAAATTACAATTAATATAATAATTATATTGTTTTTAGCATGCAGACGATCATACTTATTGCAAGTTTTTCGTCCACCACTCCTTCGGACCATCAATTGTTCGTTTCATCGGATCCTAACCTAAGCTTATTGATCCTTGCTTTGATTCCTTACAAATTTTCCAATTCTTTTTGAGTTGATCCCATTTATTCTTCAATTGCATCAGGTCATATTTTTTGTGAGCACTCTCCTTGAATTTTTTGATGATATTTTGTCACCCCTCCTTGTTAAAATTTGTAGTTAGCCTATTTCCCAGGTCCATTTCAATGAGGCAAAGATCACAAAAGATTATTTTGGTTTCTTTGTCCTACAATGCGGGCATACTAGCTTCTTTGGTCTTAGTCATTTTATTACTATGATAGCAAAAATAAACAAACATAAATAAAAGAGTGCTGAAGCAATCCAATTGTATATGTCTCTTGGAGGTGGTATGAGCAATGAATTACAGTAGTTATACATAAAATTCCACCACATAATTTTTTTGGGGCTGATTCAGTAATTTACTTCAGATAATGTGTGTGTGATTGAAAAAAATGTTTTTCTTAGCATAAAATTTGAAACTGGTATGCATGATCATACTCAGACAGTCCACAACTACATATGTTTCCTATGAGTGAGCATAAAAAATGATCGTAATAATGATCTGTTGCCTTTTTTTACAAGTTTTTCTCATTATATGCCTCGAAGAGTATCAGTAGCTATGCATAATATGACATCACAATAATTTTCTAACGCTATCTATTTCACTGCCACACTTTAGAGTGTGTGTGCGTGAATGAAAAATATGCTAAACGACAATACCAAAAATATTAACAAAAAATTTGTTATACGGTGAAAATCCACGAGAAACGAAAATCTCTCAAAAAGAATATAGGGAAAGGTGATACCAGGAGAAGATGGTGTCCGGAACGAAGGGTTAGGGCAGAGGAAGCAAAGCTCCGCGGGGAAGGTAAGGGCAGAATACGAATGCAAGGTGAAATCTGGGGACAATTGCGTAAAATACAGGAGAAGAAACACGGGCCGCAGGTCGAACCCGCGGCCCGCATTTTGTTAAACGATGCAGCCGCCGCGAGCAAAACACTGCCCCAAATGACGCAGATTAGTAGCCCCAGACAGCGCTGGCCGAAAACCACTGCCTCAAACGGGCCCTAAGATTCTTGATTGGAAAAATGCTAAGGAAGATGAATTGAATGCACTTGAAACCGACAAAATGTGGTTTGTCATTTCAGTGCCACCGCGAAAATATGCTCTAGGATGTAAGTGGACTTATCAATCAAATACAACTCAAACAGGTCAATAAATAAATATAAAGCTAGTCCTGTCCCCAAGTTGTATACTCGAAAGGAAAGTATAAATATGGAAGAAATTCTTCCAGCTGCTGCCAAAATGATGACAGTCAAAGCTCTCCTTGCCCTCGGCTACTAACAACTGAATTTAACCCAATTAGTTATTAACAAAGCATTTCTCAATGGTGGCCTTCTTGAGAATGTTTATATAACTTTTACTGTTCATAAACTGATTCAATTCCTTGCTCAGCTTGAGCCCGTCAATCAGCTATATCTCACAATCTTCTTAGATACTTCAAGCTGGCTAGCTACACCATGACAAATAATTTTTTTCTCTAATTCTTCTACCTTATTACAACTAAGAGATTTTTCCAATGCAGGTCGGAGATTTTGTCTTGACACATAAAAATTCATCATTGGATTTTGTAATTCTTAAAGAAGACACTCTGATTTCTTGGAAGCCAACAGAATACTAATAAAGCATCAATATAATGTTAAAGCATCAATATAACTCTCCATATTGATGCTTTACCATGCGTTAATATAACTCTCCATCTTCTGCAGGAGCAGAATATAGGGCATTAGCTTCCACATTTGATGAATAAAATTAACTTGGTTGATTCAGCTTTTGCATGACTGTAAGACGCGTTATAGCTCTTCTGCACTTCTATTCTGTATTTTGTTATAATCAAGCATCAATACATATACAATAATTTCTTGATTTCCTTGTAGCCAATTCTGTACTATATATTTTACATTGGACTTTGTAAAGGGAGCCCTTTTTCTAACAAAACAAGTTGCTTGATTTCCTATCCTTATCTCCGTCTGCCATATTGTATCTTTGCACTTGTCGCAGGCCATAACCTTTGAGTCAAATCATATCTATTAATTTCCAAACCCCGTAAAGGCTACACATAGCTGGACTAATTGCGACCATTTAAACCACCACCGTAGACATTTTAAAACCACCATTGTAGCATAGAACAACGGTAGCACTATGTTTGTACTTGCAACAGTTAAAACTGTCAAAGTAGACATTAAAAACAAATGATTTTCATACACCGCCTACAAAACTTAAAAAAGAATGTTAATTCAACAATTAACTACAATCAAAACACCAAATTATGACAAGCAGACACTAACTAACCCACATTTTTCATATTGAGCAAAATTTCACCATTTATCCTTAAATAATATTCAATTCACATATATCCTAAATGTATGTCATTGACAACCTGCAGAAGTTGAAATTGTAATCATAAGAAAATTAAAAATGATGCAAGCAATTTTCAAAAAAAAAAAAAAAATCCAGTAGGTCTGATAAGTCATAAATCATTTACAGAAAATGGAATTAAAAACATATCACGATACGACTAATTAGGTGGGGAACAACATAATCTCGACATACAAAGTCCTCAGAAGCACTCATCTTGTTTTTTCCACTATGGTCCAACCTGTAAATCATCAAGGAAGGTATCTCTCATCTTTCTTCCTCATCTTTCTTCCTTATACTGCCACCCACTTTCCAACACTTTAACTTTTCCAAATCCTGTAAATTCACAGAGATTTCTCTCATCTTCTTCCTTATCCTGGCACCTGTTGGAATGGAGAATCTTTTAGGATATGACAAATGCTAAAAAACTTATGGAAGAAGCTTTACTCTTATTTATTACCTTAACTTGACTTGATACAAACTTAAAGACTCCACCCCTATTTATACTAGTGACACCTCCTAAATTAATTGCTAGGATTGTGCCACCACAATTTCAATCCAATGGTTACAAATAATTCTAAACCTACCACACAATAACACTTCACAATGATTCCACACCTACCGCACCTACCACACCTACTACACAGTAATTTCATACCTACCACATATTCTAGAATAAGCTTCTAGAAATTAAGCTCTATTTAAACAACTAAAACCAAGTTTATATTTCAACATCTCTTCTTAAACTTGATTTTGTGACTCCAAGCAAATTTCTCATTTTAATAAAGTCTTCACTCTTCAGTGGCTTCTTGAGTGGCTTGATAAAAATGTCTGCAACTTGGTCTTGAGACTTCAAGTACTGCATTTGTATCTTCTTTCTTTCGATGTATTCTCTGATGTAGTGATAACGCATATCAATGTGTTTGCTTCTATCGTGGAAAACAGAATTATTTGCTAGCCCGATTGCAGACTTGTTATCGATACAAATCTTAATCGCCTCTTCTTGTGGTAAACTTAACTCCTTTAATAGTTTTCGAAGCCAAATTGCATGACAAATACATGAGGTTGCAACCACGTACTCTACTTCGCAAGTAGAAAGAGTGACAATTGGTTGTTTCTTTGACATCCGAGTGAAAGCAGTGTCTCTTATGAAGAACACGAACCCTGTAGTGCTTTTTCTATCATCCATGTCTTCAGCCCAATCACTGTCGCTATATCCTACAAGCTTGAAATTGTTGGATGATGAGTAAAATAAGCCAAAATCAATTGTACATTTGATATAGCGCATAATTCTTTTAGCAGTCTTCAGGTGGGTAACAGTCTGAGCCTCCATGTAGCGGCTGACAAACCCAAGAACATAAAGAATATCAGGTCTTGTGCATATTAAGTAGCGCAAACTTCCAACCAAACTCTTGAAAAACGTTGGATCAATTCTTTTTCCGTCATCAAATTGTGATAGCTTGACTCCACATTCTAAATGGGTTTTTATATGTTGGTTATTCTCCATCTTGAATTTCTTCAATATCTCCCTTGCATAACCTTCTTGAGAGATGAAGATCTCATCTTCTGTTTAGTTGACTTCAATGTCAATGTAGAATGCCATGAGCCCAATATCTGTCATTTCGAACTCCTTTGTCATCGCTTCTTTGAACTTTTCAAACATGC